TGCAGTGTGTCCTGTAAAGCGCTTTGAGATGCCTCAAAGAAGTAATAAGGCGATATATCAAATGCGAGGATTATTATTATTATTATTATTATTATGTATTCAAAGGCCCAATATGGGGCTTGAACCACAACCTTCTGACTCAGAGACAAGAGTGTTACCTACTGAGACTGGCTGAGTTGCAACAGATATGACCCAGTGCTAGTTTGTTTTATAATGTTCCTTCTTTTAGATCAGTGCTGATTTACACTTTGCATATGTTGGTGTAAACATGCCACGGACACAGTGGAAGAAACAACAGGGCCGTTTGCACAGCTGGTAGAATGCGGAAGTTTTTCCTTTAATTGAAACTTGATTTTTCAACTATTTCAACCATAACATCTATCTCTTATGTAAGATAATAATCCTTGCATTTGATACAGCATCTTATCATGTCGTAAAGATGTTCTCAAAGTGCTTCCCAGGATTTATTGTAAAACTGAGTGGCTGTATTTTGTGGATAAACTCGGCAGCCAATTTGCACAGGGCAGTGTCCCTCAATAGCCATGGAATGCACAACCGGTTTTATTTGGGGGATTTGGGGCCAGGACACCCGGAGAAACTTCCTTCTCTTTTCGAATAGCGCCACAGGATCTTCACAAAACACCTGAGTGGGCAGATAAAATCTGCTGATTTGAGTCGGGTGCATTCAGTCTGAAGGAGCAGAGTTGGCTGGTGTGTCAGGGAAAATTATGGATGTAGGAGGAAGTGATGGGGGCAATAGTGTTGAGGATATTAGATATTAGCATTAGATATTATGCAGCAAATGCTCAGTAGCAGGACTGGCAAATGTTCACTTAAATAAACTTGGGAAGACAATGAGCAAATAATAATAATAATAATCCTTGCTTTTGAAATAGCGCCTTATCACATCTTCAAGATGTCTCAAAGCGCTTCACAGGATATACTGTAAAGTGTAGTGACTGTGTATTTTGTGGGAGAAACATCTCAGTCAATGTCAGCAAACACTAATTGTACTGTACACAGCCGCAACATGTTAATGTACAGCCATAAAGATTAAAACGCAGAGTTATAAACGGCCGAAAAAGAGAGTGAAGTAGCCACTTGTTCCTACCAGGACCTCCATGTGTCAGTTTTATTCTGGGAAACATTGGATAGAGAAGTCAGATGTTTTTGTGACAGAGACAGGCAAATGAGAGGCTCTCTTACTTAGAGGGTTATCCCTATTGTTGGTTGATACAGAGAGAACATTGCTGGAAAAATTCGACCACAAATGATTTTCTTTAAGCAGATTCTTTACCCTTCTGTTGAGATTTTATTGCTGAATTTGCCACTTTTTATTTGAGCCCTAAAAATGAGACGGTTTGAATGTCATTCCAGATCCATGATACTGGGGCACCCCCTCGTGGCCAGACAAACCTGCTGCATGAAATAGCAAACAAAAGCTCAGGTATATAGGATAGATTTACCACAACAACACAACAAAATTACATTTGTATGGCGCCTTTCACGTCGGGAGGACGTCCCAAGGCGCAGGACAGTCAGTGTTTCGGATCCGAGCTGGGGGTCGCGACTGGGGAGGGTGATTGAAAGCACGGCCGCAGAGGAGGGTCTTAAGGTGGGTCTTGAAGGAGGCAAGGGAGGGGGCAAGGCGGAGGGACTGCAGGATGGTTCCAGAGAGTGGGGCAGAGTAGTGGAAGGCCTGCCCGCCAATGGTGGGGGTGGGCGAGGCGGGAGACGTGAAGCAGGCTGGAGCCCGCTGAGTGGAGGGAGCGAGCAGGACGGTAGGGGGTTAGGTGGTATACGGCAATATTTTCTGCTAGAATCAAAATTTCATTCTTGCGAATATACGTCAATTTGCAAATCTGCTTTGCCGGGGTCAATTAGTCATTTATTGCGTGTTTCAACCATAGCATGAGGGAGTTCTGAACATAGAGAAGATTCAATCCAGAGGAGGACAGAGGTCTTAAAAACTCTGAAAGATTCGAAGAGTATAGCTGGCAAAAGATTCCCACTCATTCGTAAATCAGTAACAACTCAGTCTTTGTGGAGTGCTTCGAAGGTTAGAAGGTGTTTTCCTGTAGAGGTTCATTAGAACATGGAATGCTCGTAGTGAGTTGGAGCTTATAGTCCAGGCTGACGTTCCAGTGCGGTGTTGGGCAGTGGAGCATTGTCAGAGGTAGACATTAAAACTGATTTCTGTCGCCCCATTCACATGGATATTAAAGACCCCACAGCGCTATTGGAATGGAGAAGGGAGTTTCCCCCATGTTCTGGAAATAATCTCCCAGGTAAATTAATGAGCCCACTTTATGATGTGGCACCACAACCATTGTTTTACCCAGACAGACAGACAGACAGACAGACGCAGTGATAGCAACTCTCGTCTCTGAGTCAGAAGATTGTGGGTTCAAGCCCAACGTCGAGACTTTGAATCACATAGTCTAAGCTGACACTCCAATGCAGTGCTGGGAGAGTCTTGCATGGTTGGAGGTGTCATCCTTTGGATGAGATGTTAAACCGGGGTCCCATCTGCGTGTTTAAGTGGATGTTAAAGATCCCATGGCGATATTCAAAAGGGAGTTGCTTCTGGTGTCCTGACCAACCAATCCCCAAAATAAAATTGGTCACTCACTCCATGGTTGTTTGTGGGACATTGTTGTGTGAAATTTGCTTCCACATTTCGTCACAAAAATACACTTTACAGTAAATCCTGTGAAACTGTTGAGATGTCTTGATGAGGTGATAAAGCATTGTATCAACTGCAAGGATTATTATTATTATTATGTTAATAGACCTGGGTTCAAGAAACCTGGGTTCGATTCCCAGGCAGGGCAAAATGCTGGGCAAGTTTCCTTATTCCACACGCCTCTGTTTACTTAGCAGTAAGTAGGAACCCGGTTGTTAGTCGATTGGTGGATCGCTTTTATGGGGGTAATGATTCCTTCAAAAAAATTGGTCACTCCATCAAGGACTGTTTGTGGGACGCTGCTTTGCGCAATCGGCTGCCGCGTTTTGCCCACAAACTATTATCAATTAACTTTACATTATATTGTGTGAAGCGTTTTGAGACATCTCAAAGACATAAGGCACTATATCAAATGCAAGGATTATTATTATTATTATATTGGAATCAAGTTAATCCTCTGGCAGTCTTGTTAGTCCAGTGTCTGAACCAGATGGATCTGCAGTACTTCAAAGCACCGTTGACAGACCGGTCACTCTGGCTCATAGCCTGGACTTGGGAGGGCCAGACTACGCACAGGGGAGGGATTCTTCCCACTTGGCTCCCATCAACCGTGCACATTAAAACCTTAATGAGGAGGTGTGGATTCAAAAGGTCAACATTATATAAAAAAAGAACTGTGTGAAGTGCAAACAAGCAGTACATCACTGTGCAAGTGATTGTCGGGGGAACTCAGGGAGGAAATTGTTGAGGCTCTGACGACAGTTTTGCTGACATCATTGCAGTCAATAGATGTGCCAGGAGACTGGAGGGCAGCTAATGTGATGCCTCTGGTTAAAAAGGCAGAATGGGTCCAGCCAAGTAATTATAGATCAGTCGACATAATGTCCATAATGGGCAAACTTTTAGAGGCTGTTAATATGGGATAATAATAACTACTTAAAATAACTACTTGGAAAGATACCGTCACCATGGATTGGTCAAAGGCAAGTCTTGCCTGAGAAACGTACTGAAGTTTTTTTTCTCGCAAGACAGCCAAGAAAATAAATGATGGTAATGCTGTGGGTGTGGCATATATGGATTTTCAGAAGGTTTTTGAGAAGTTGCCATATAGGAAACTTGTTAGGAAAAGGGCACATGGTATCAATGGAAAAATTGAAACGTGGATAAAGTATTTTTTTTTAAAAAGGAGAGGAAACAGAGGGTGGGAGTGCAGGGTTTTTATTCTCACTGGAGAGATGCAAATAGGTACATCGCCAGGACCCTTGCTCTTCACCATTTGTATGAATGATCTGGTAATAATGGGCGTAATTTCTGCAGTTTACAAATTACACAAAAGTAGGCGTGAAGACTAAAAGCAATTTTAGTTGGACACAGAGATTATGGGCAGAGAAATAGCAAATTAAATTTTATGCCTTAATTACCAGCAGCTTATGTAGTTGAGACATCTCAAAAAGTATTTCAAGGTTTACTGTAATGTGTAGTGACTGTGCGGACAAACATGGCAACCAATTCATTCACAGCTGTCTCTCATAAACAGATTTGAAGTGAACAACCAATTTTTTCTGGGGGATTGTCGGCCAGGACACCCGGGCAAAACTCTTTTCTCTTTTCAAATAGTGCCAAGGGATCTTGAATGTCCACCTAAATAAGATATCCGGGATCTTGATTAAGTGTTTCCTCCTACAACGCAAAACACTGCCAGTACTGCACTGGAGTGTCAGCCAAGACAATAAGCTCAAAGTCCTGACTACGAGGCATCTGAAAGCCCTTCACAATACAGTATTTATCAACTAAAGCAAGTGCTTTTGTAGACAAAGGTGGCAGGAAGTTTGCAGGCAAAAAATGATAAATTACTGTAATAAAGTGAACATCCGAATAATTTGAAGGATTATTGGTCAGGGCAACAGGAGAAATTAACTTCACTTTTTGAAAAGAAGCCACAGGATCTGAACGGAAACATGTTTTAGCACTTTCAAAGGACAGTACCACTGACTATACACTGCTATTGCAAGACCCTCCTCTTCGACAGTGCTTTCGATCTCCCCGCTTCCCCACCTGCCCTCCACCCTCCCCCACACCGATCCTCAGCTCGGGTTCATAACTCTGTCTGTCCAGCGCCTTGGGATGTCCTCCCAACGTGAAAGGTGCTATACAAATGTAATTTTGTTGTTGTACTTCATTGGAGATCAGCCCTAACATGGCACTGGAATAACCACCATCTGACCCAGAAATAAGAATGATATCAACAGAGCCGAGTTAAAGAGTTGGAGCCGACACAAGTTTTTTTTTAAAAAAAGAAAGTTAAAAGTTCAAGTTTTATAACAAAACGTTTATTTCTAAAGATATACAAAGGGTTGGCTTTTATCAAAGCCTCCACATGTCAGAAAATTCTTAACACAGCATCGTAAAACAAAGAATGGATCCAGAGTGTTTTACAGAATAAGGGGAGTAACAAAATTGTAACTAAGATTAAAGTACAATTAGGTTTCTTCCCCCTTTCTAACTTGGATTTACAAAGCAGGGTTGACCACTGCTGTAGGGGATGTGGGAACTAAACACACATTGGTTAAAAAAATAAAACCTTTATTCAGATACACCACCCCAGAGCAACCGGTACACACAGGATACTGCTCCTAGGAGACACTGCACATCAACCCCTCTTCCCAACACGTTCACTTCAGTACAAATAATTGCAAGAGGACGGATATGAAAACGTGACAGTGGCCTCAATGTGGCTGTGTCTGCATCAGTTAATCTCAGAGAACAAACGGAATGAACTATAAAAGCCGTACAATAAATGGTACTTTTTCCAAACGGTGAGGGAAGGAATTTAACGGGAATCGGTGTGGAGGTCTCCCAGGTAACATGGCTCTAAATGTGAACTATAAGGCGACTAATTGCATACAAGTCCGATGAAGTATATTTTACAGCAAACATTTTAGTTGATGACAAGGAAGTGGGTGCTGTAGTTGTTTAATACTTAATCAGCTTTTCCAGGGAATACAAGAAGTTGCTATACTTTTATTTTAACCTTGCTAAATCATTATTCCAACCCAAATTCCCCCAAATGAGGACTGCCAGGATGTGTCAGTTCTCTTCAGCACATGGAAACAAGAGGTCATCCTGAGCTGTTCTTGGCAATCAGGCACAGACAAGCATGGCTACAAGGTTTAGAAACGGGAGCTTGTGTCGGCAAGAGAACAGCAGCAATGTAATCAGGCAAAGTCATTCAGAGCTGGAGGTACATTTGCCTTCAAATAAGTTTTTAGGTCAGGTTTAGGGGACGGAAAATTTGGGGGCAAATAAACAAATGGCTATTTTACTTAATATTCAACAATGAACTGTGTTCAATATAAATTAGACTGCTCCTTTAGCGACTAAACCGAACACTAACTCAGGTATGGGCCATATGTAAAATACACTTATTATAAAAGAGACAAAATGCAGAAGTAAAACACTGAAATCTGAAACAATGGCAAAGGTAATTCTGTATGGAATGGTTCAAACAGGCAAATGAAACACATTTTCAATATGGGTACCAGATCATTATCAAGCTTTCATATCTCAGACATAAGAAAAAAAACAGATTTCCTGTATCCAACATATACTATTTCCAATATTACCCATCCTACTCCAAGTTGCACCAGAAGCCAATGCCAAATTTGGGGCACTTTCATGCTGTGGATTCAAAACTGTTGGCATTAGGTACAAATGCCTCACACTAACATGGAGCCTTTCACCCCAGTATGTGGGCTGTGAATTTGAAGCAAGTTCTTGGGATGGACAAAGTGTGCATTAACTCACTGAGCTTCCAGTAAACCCAAACAAACTTGGAAGATGCAATATACCCGTTCCCTTTATGTAACAACAGCTACTGGCTACATACATGCAAGTGGGAGGATGAAGAAATGAATGAGGATCAGACCCACACTGGCAAATGAGGCCAATTTTAACAACAATTAACCCTCAAATCAGACACAACTGTGATTACAATCAGGTCAAAAGGGCAGCTCTCAGTCTGGACACCCACACCAGATTCTTCCAGACTTGCCACAGATCAGTAAATCATTTCAGTCGTATTGATTCTGGGTCATCTCCATTGATTCAAAGTCAATCCCTGATCAACAAATCCAGTCAACAAATCACTGTAACATATCAAAGACATGAAATGATCTCGACTCAGTAATTACAGAATATCAAATGGACAGTCCTTAAGAAGTTTCAGATGTGAAGACACTTATTCCATCCAAAGCCACTCAGTCTCCTCCCCTGAAGCACCTTCACACTGAGGTTCTCATAAGCAATTCCTAATGGGGCGTCTTAAACAGTTCATCAAATTTACCTACAGAAACTCTGTTCCAAGGTGGTCTACGATTGGAACAGGGTCTGATGTGCTTGAGGTTGAAGGACGCCCATATTCGACTCTAGAATCTGAAAATAGCACACTTTGACCGACAACACGGTCCATTCAAACCCAGCCAGAACAGGCAGGCTTGATGGAGATGCTCCAGTAACTGATGGTAACTGTTAATGAATTGCTCTCTTTAGCAGGGCAGGGGCAAGATGATTTCGAAAAATTGCTAACATAAGAAAATAAAGTGGCAGAAATTGTGATTGGGCAGTAACACAGGATTTAATCTTCACTGTATTTGCACTGTCAAGGACTTGACCAATTTCTCGAACCTCAGTGGCTCAGCATAGTGCAAACAGTCACCATTACAACCAAACTGAAGTAAAACGACACTAAATATTGCTGCCTCTCTCCCCCCCCACCCAAACTGGTACAGTAAAACTGTCTAAAGTCTGATCTATATAAATCATATAATCGCCTAAATCAAACATCTACCCATGTCCCGTTCAAGAGCTTCTTTCTATGCAGGTTTGACATAACTCATACTTTAATAAGTCTCATTAAATATATGGTCCCAACTGATACGACTTGTGAGGCTTACTGTATATTTGAATTGAAGAAAACCAAGTTACAATCGTTTTAACAAAATTGGTGGGAAGAAATCCTTAATTCCTCTAATTGGCGAGAGCACAATGCTACTTCAGCATGTATATACTGCAGTATTGAAATTGGGGCTTAACCCCATTCTCCCCCCACCTCCCAAAAGACTTGACAGTAACAGTGAACATCCACTCAACTTGGGAAATTGATTTGCAACAGAATTCCTCCCCTGAGCATTATCCTTTTAGAAAAATTGCCGGACAGGGATGAGATTTACTTAACATGAGTAAAGGTATAAATATTTCACCATATGCAGACTATTTGCTGGGCAGTCCAAAGGTAGCTGGGCAGGCCAAAGCTTTGAAGATTCGGGTTATCGCACTTAAAGCAGTATAGTTGCTGGAACCAAGTCATATGCATCCAGTGCTGAACCCCAAATTTGCACCATTTCATTTTTCAAACTCACTTTCAGTTTGAAGTACTCTTGCACTCTGTGAATTTACATATTCCAACACGCAAGGACTGTCAAAAACATGAAATGAACCCACCACCCCACGATTAAGGTGGAATATCACACCACTTAAACTTTCCTTCCTTTCCGTTTGGATCAACCTGCACAAATTGATTTAGAAAACAAAAAATAAAGTAATTGGTATCAACATTGAGCACAAACTCTGACTTGACAGTGTATCCAGGAGAAACCATGGATTAAGACAATCCATTCGTAACCAGCTGAAGATGATGTCTTGCTGGGTTACTCCAGATCACCGCAGGTTTACTTGTAGGCACAAAATTAAAAAGCTGATTAAACTGAAATGAGGAATAACATTGTACGCAGAGGAGACAGCTATAAAGAGAGCAAGAATCAGCGAACTCACTAGGTAAGACGCAAGCTGGAATCCTGTTTCCTACATGCAATTTACAAACCTCTATTCCGTAGGATTTTATTGCATTTTATGTGGGTGTCTGTATATATATATATATATACTGTATGTACAATTTACTTTTGTTTATCACAATACAAAGGAAAAAAAGTTTTTTTTAAAAAAAATGTCATTTTCCATCCCTGTTATTTGGTAAGTGTTGTCTGCTTATACAATGGCTTGCTAGGCAGTCGATTCAAGCTCTCAGACGATTCCATTATTCGCCTGTGACTTGGGCAGTCTGTCCGTCTGCAGGCTGGTTGGTGGACTGGATGAACATTGGCTGAGTGATGTCCTGTCCTGGGGGCATGGTGACTTGCTGAATCTGGTACAACTGCTACAGAAAGCAAAAATATAGAAGCATTTCAGAACCCTGACACAGAATCGACAGAAATAATCACTGTACTTAATGTTGAAGGTGCTGTCCTTCCGAGCCCATTTCGATGGACATTAAGGATTCTATGGCACCATTTGAGAAGAGAAGGCAGTTTCTCCCTGTGTCCTGACCAATTCCACAGATAAAATTGGTCATAATATAGAGTCACTACACTTTACAGATAATCATGTGAAGCATTCTAAGACATTCCTCCTCCTGTGAAAGGCATTATATCAAATGTAAGGAAAATTATGGTGGCTGAAGTCAGAGCTGCTGATGATGGGAGAATGGAGTAGTGAGCAAGTAATAAAATACTTGCATTTGATATAGCAGCTTTCACGTTGGGAGAACTATTCAAAGAGCTTTACAGGATTTTACCGCAAAGCGTATTGACTATTTTGAAGGTGAACACACAGCATATAGCACTCTCCCCAAACCAACCATTAAGTAAATGACCAATTTTATCTGTGTAATTGTTACCAGGGCATAGGATAAAACTCCATTCTCTTTTCGAGTAATATCATTAACAGTCCATCTGAACAAGCAGACAAAGCCTCGTTTTAACACCTCATCCAAAGAATGTCATCTTCGACAATGCAGCACTCACCAGTGCAGTACTGGATGTCAGCACGGACAAATTCAAAGTTCTGAAATGGACTTGAATCCATAATCTTCTGAATCAGAGGTGAGAATCCTACCAGCTGAGTCGGGTTAACACCAAAACTTAGTCTACAGTTTTTCAATGGACCATATTTATTAATTTATCCATAAAAATAGCACCTTTACAAAAAAACTCTCCAATGCAGCCCTTGCACTTCACATGCTTTGTATTCTGCATGGATGCGAGTTTATTTTAAACTTCACTGCTATGTTTTATTTCAGGCAATTATGTGCAGAATAATGAATCCTGTAGAATGAATTTCAAGGATGCAATTCAAACAGAGTACTTCAGAAAATTCAAGATTAACAAGAGGACTGCCTGGGTGATTTACAAGCATTAGTGGAAACCCTTGAGAGTGAAATACAGCTTAGCCTTGCTCCAGAATAATAGCAAGTGACTGGACTGCTTCCAAAATATTATTCCATACTTTACATTTCAACCACATCTTGAGAGAGTGAAACAAGAAAGAACAGTATAGGCCCATGGTAACACAGTGGTTTGAAAGCAATAAAATCCAACTGCTCCTTATAGTGAGGCCGCTAAAGCCAGTTACACTTACACAGGCAAGCCAATCATCTCGGTTCCCACACACCAGCCAGTTCAATAATAATAATACTTGCATTTGATATAGCGCCTTATCACGTCTTCTAGACGTCTCAAAGCGTTTCACAGAATATATACTGCAAAGTGAGTTGACTATTTTGCGGGAGAAATGCGGCAGCCAATTGCACATAGCAGTGTCCCACAAACAGTTGTGCATTGAGTGACCACATTATTATTTTTATATAATAAAAGCTGAAAGTAAATGGCCGACTTGCAGGCCAACAGGTCACCACCATTGTTGGATGCGCAACTTGCAGGTAGTGTCATTGGGATTGACTTAATGACCCAAAGTCGGTTATTTTTAACATGGGAACCAAACCAGCTGGCTTCAAGCATACGTAAAAATGAACAACACTTACATTGCACCTTTTATGGGGTCTACTCCACTTTTGTGTTATAAACAAATCAGCGCTGTAACCTGCACCACTGACAGCCGGGTACAGCTGTCCTAAGTGTATGGATCAGAGCCATACTGTACAGAATGTCTCCAAGTTAGTTGACTCATCGCTTGCCATATCCAAATAATAATCCTTGCATTTGATATAGCACCTTATCACATCTTTGACATGTTTCAAAGCGCTTCACAGAATATGCTGTAAAGTGAATTGACTGTATATTTTGTGGTGAAACGCAGCAGCCAATTGCGCACAGCTGCGTCCCACAAACAGTCGTGGATTGAGTGACTAAATTATTATTTTTTTAAAATTGTGGGCACAGTGTGAGGCAGCAAGAAATGAGGCAAACAAGGTGCTGGGCTAGGCTGACTGGCTACTCCGATATTTTAGTTTTTCCTCACAACCTATCTCTTATCCAATTTTTCCTCATGGCTTAGCCCTCTAACACCGGGAATATTCCCAAGTGGAGAGTGGGGAGGGAAAGTGGGCAGAACCTAAATATTAGAATAATCTAAATATTTAAGTTATCAGTCAGACTTGGCGCTCTCTTCAACTCTTTAAGACCTGGAAGTCCCTCTTTACAATGCAGGAATCATAACTGTATGCACTTCTGCTGTCAGGAGGCTGGGTCAGAGTACTCCCGATGTGAAAGGTGCTATATATTGTTATTATACTGTAAGGCTTTAGTATAAATTCTGAAGATTGCCAAGGCTGGAAATAAGAGGTCATGGGTACAGGGTATGAACGGCATGTTTAGGATAGACAACAGGGAATATTTCCTTTACACTGAGGGCAATCAACAGCTGGAATGTTGTGTCAGCTTTCCAGTGGTTGAGGCCATGACAGCTTGAGAGATATCTCAGTGATGTATTGGGGATACAGGTTTGGTATTCTGGGAAGGGCAAGAACAAAAGGGTTAAAAGCTTACTTCACCTGAGCATTAAGCCAGCTCCAAGTTCCCACAGAGGTGTCCTGCACCTCAGGAAAGCAATTTCCTCAAATTAATTACCCAAATCAACAGTAAAGAGAGTGCAGATCAAACAGCAACATCAATAGAACATACCTGTCCATCAGTGAACTGACTGTATTGCTGTCCCTGCTGGACTTCAGCTTGTCCTACCTGTATGGGCGGGGCGGGGGTAGGGGGAGGAAAATAAAGGAAAAGCAAAAATCAAGCATTTATAAAACATTCAGAAGCAACAGTTGCTTGCAATTGTGTAGCACCTTTCGCCTTTGTGATTAAATGAGCTGTCTGCCATCTGATTTTCCCTCCCGGAGGGAAAGCATGCAATTCCCAGAAGCTATTAGGCTGACAGCACAAATGAGACCGGAAATCCCCATGCAATTAATTGTAGTGCAACAAACCAAGTCCCACACTAACGTGTAGCCACCAATTACGGCCACATTCGATGGGGAAATGCTGTGGCACCCAGAGCTGGAAGGCTGGTGCTCACCAATTAATCGCACATTGACTTCATCACTCAATTCCCGTTTGGACCAAACTGTTCATCAAGATGTGCAACTGCTAGCAAATCTCAACACAACGCTGTTGATTTGAACAACCCAGAGTCAGGAAATCATTAATTGCAGGAAATGCCTTTCTGCAAGAGCTTGGAAATCTTAGCGGAAACAATTTACATCAAATTCAAGTTCTATCAAGTCAAGAAAAAAAAACATTCACTGGCGCATACACCGGTACAACTAAACACAGATGCCGTCCCTCCCTCCCTCCCTTAGGGCAAGCACACTCCTGGCAATTTTCACATTGGTTCAAAACCAAATTTTACTCCCAATGTAGTGAACAATGGCTTAAGTTTGAATCTGTTGCCATCAGTTTAACGGGATTCCATAATAAACAAGCATCATCTCTGTTCTCTCAGGGCTTCCCAACCCAGCTTCCATTGGTCTGTATTACTCCCAGCTATCTTCTTTGACTGCTGCCGCCACTCAACCTGCCTCGAAAGAATTGCGTCTCATATTGTTCTTGTACTTAAAAACAATAAACCATTTCTCAACCATTGCGGTCAAACCAAATTAATGGAGTGTGAAAATGCAAGTAACTTAAAACACAAACAGCAAATTACATTTGTATAGCGCCTTTTATGTCAGGAGAATGTCATAAGGTGCTGGACAGTCAGGGATCTGCACCCGAGCTGGTGGTTGGGATCAGGAGGGGTGGAGGGAGGGAAGAGGTAAGAGGGTGACCGAAGGCACGGTCTTGAGACGGGTCTTGAAGGAGGCAAGGGAGGGGGCGAGGCGGAGGGAATATGGGATGGAGTTCCAGAGGGTGGGGGCAGAGAGGCTGAAGGCTGTCAATAAAGATGGGGCAAACAAGGCAGGAGACGTAGTGGGTCGGAACCTGCTGAATGAAGGGAGCGGACAGGTTGGTAGCGGGTTAGGTCATAAAAAGTGCTTTTCCCATCCCTTCCTTGGAGGGAATGACCATCCTCCATCTTATAATTTCAGGATAATACGAAGTAATTGTGTATTCCTACCTGATTGCCTGTGGTGAGGGTCTGGATTTGCCCTTGTACCACCTGTGTTTGGGATACAGGTTGAGCCAAACGGATATATTGCAGCTGCCCAGTATTCAACTGCACCTAGGAATTAGAAGAGAAAGACAAAAAAGTAGCATTTTTAAAGTAACGTATTATGTCAAATCATCTTAAAAGTGCTTTACGACAATTATTGCAACATATCGCGACTTTTTGTAGGCACACATGGCAGTGAGTTGCACAAAGCAAGTTCTTTCCTACAAAAATTTATGAAGGACCAATTCAGAAGGGCTGTTGGTCAGGACACTGGATAAAACTCACTTTGGTTTCAATTAGTGTCACAAGATCTTTGACATCTATCCGAGGTGAGCCTGAACTTTGAAAATAATAATAATCCTTATAATAATAATCCTTGCATTTGATATTAAGCTTGTTCGTGTCTTTGAGATGAATAAACTTGAATGCGCAGGCTAGTGTGAAACAACATGAACGTACATTTGAAACAGACAGGATGAAGCTCACTTCTGAGACTTTACATCATCAATCCTGGATAATAATAATAATACTTATATTATTAGCAATAAATTATATTGTGTCAATGGAAGCCGGCAATAATATGTTGCACGAATGTAACAACAAAAAGAAAGTAAACAACATTCCATATGAACCTAAATGGAGGGAAGAGCCCAAACCGTGCTTTGTTTTAATATCTCCCATTAGCTACAAAGCACGTACTGGAATCTGTTGAATCTCGCCAGTGTTGGTGATGATCTGTTGCATGACTTGCATGGTCTGTCCTGAATTGCTCTGAGATTGCTGTGCTTGGCTCTGTGCTGGAACGATCTGCACTTGCTGTCCATCTCCTACTTGCATGGTCACTGGGGTGCTCTGTAACAAAACATCAGGAATGAGTCCAGAACACCACTCAAACGGGAATTAGATAAACACATGAATAAAAGAGATATAAACTGTTTAGGGGTTTGATCTGAGAGACATGAACAAGACACTTAGTGTTTATTAGTTCTTCCTCCACCCAGCTATTTAACTGAAGGTCTCACATTTTGTAATTAAGAACGTAAGAACATGACAAATGTTAGACAAAAAAAAGACCAAGTCCATCTAGTTTGCCTTCCACTTTCCTGACGGTCGCATAAATTCCTCTGCAGTCGCATCCATTCAGATGAAGGAATTTGTGCAATATGTAAATGTTTAATGGGATGTCAACAAAACAGTCATGAGGCACTTCAACACTGGAGGAAGGGGCCTTGCCTCTGCCCTAAAGCAAATACCAACACCTCTCTCCCGTTCCGAACGCCTCTAAAATCCAGAAACCTAAATGCCAGTCAAGACTGAGATTTGAACTCTGTTCTCCTTGCAATACGTCCGAGTTAACTTGGGCTGTTATACAATTAAAATTGTACTTTGTGACGATGAAACTAGAATATAAAAAGAACTGGAGACTGAATGAAAGCGCTTTATGGACACATTCCTACTCCGAAAATTTGAAAGTGACCAGTTTCACTCAAGCAATTTGAACACTGAAAGACGCAAGTGGGAAATCTACAGAAAAAGGTTCATTACTGTAGTAGTTACTAAAATATGTGTGCACATATTAAAATTAGCACAACAGTAAAAAAATAATTCAAGTGAAATAAATGTTTAAAGTAAATTCTTAGGAAAAGTCTGAACTGTTGGCATGTTATCTGAACACATGTTATAAAATAATGGGATTGCAAATCAACCCTAGCAATATTTGAAGGGACCAGACATCCTAGCTTACAGGAAAGTCAATATGCATTTGTTTGGCATTGCATGAAGGTTCGACAGTGATAAGCACCCTGCCGTACAAACTATGTCTTTATAAGACACTGTATGCCTGCACGAAATACTGAAGAGTTTTTTTTAATGAGGGTTTTCTTTTCATAAATGTACTGCGTACTGTGTGTAAAGACAAGAAATCTATATAATGAGGTTTCAAACCATTTTAAGAAAAAACAGATGCACTACTGTGTTCCCACAAGATGCATTACCGTGATTGATGATGCTGTAGTCTGAGACTGCCCGACCTGAACTTGCTGTAACTGCTGAACTGCTCCTTGTACTACCTGTAAACGCAACAGATCAAACCATGAGTATGAACAAATGGAGAACAACCCCCCCCCGAACAGTACAACACATTCCGTGGGGAATTACCAAAGAATAAGCAAGTAGCAAAGAATTGCACACAGAAATAGACCATTCAACAACAACATGCACTTATATATTGCCCCTCACGCAGGGTAACATTCCAGAGTGTTTCATGGATCCATTCTAGTCTCCAGAAGATCCATTTGATGTATTCATGGCTAAATCCTTTTTAGTTAATGGGAACTGATCTAATTACCCTTTCTAGTAGTCTGTCCCACATTCCTTTCCTAAACAAAATTCTCCAGCATTTCCTATTAACTTTTGTTGCTCTTATTTCGAGGAATTAATTGGCTACTCATCTCATTGTTGCTTCTGGGCGGTCTTGGCAGAGATTAGCTACCATGTTTGCCTGTGCAGGATTCACTTTCATTTCTAAATCAACATTATTTCATAAAACTGACATTCCTACAGTGCCTTATCAAGCAGTCATAACATCTCAAAGTACTTTACATTATTTACTACAAGATGTAGTGACTGCCAATCACCCCCTCAACTCTCATTAATGCATTTTTTTACATCCAGGCTTGCCTACCCCAACAGTCTGCTCACTACCAGCTCTTCCCCACACAAGCTGTAAACCATTCAGAACTCAGAACTAGTGTCCATTTCTGCACCAGGCTCTGTGAGCCTACAAACCCTATCCTCGAGTTCAAGGTCCTTCAATCCCCTCACAGTCCCACCCAACTCTATCTTTGCTATATCCTCAAACCATACCAACCTGGCCACACCCTTTGCTCAGCAGGCACAGGTCTGATGCCTTCGTCTCACCCAATACGCCCCACCATCGGCGGTCAGGCTTTCAGCTGAACTTTCCCCACTCTCTGGAACTCCATACCAGAATCACCTTTCCCCTCCCCCCACAGTCAGCTTCCACCCCCAGCAACTACCTGAGGCAATGCAGACTGAACCAACACATCATACAGTTTCATTACCTAGTCGTCAACGCATTTAGTTAAGAAACATTCAACAGTCTATATCCCAATGATTCAGTAGCAGAGTTAAAAATACCCTGAAGAATCATACAGGAAAGTAATTAAAACAATGATTTAAACATAGCTATGACAAGCGGCATTGCTACTGAAAAGACCAATAGAACATTGTGGGTGAGCACTGCGACCAAACAAGGAAACAATTTAAACTGAGGGGACCAATTTGTCCAATGGAAACACAATAGAGATGCTTGGTCTGATCCATTCATGGTTAGACCCCAAAACTATTTAATAAACTATTTCATATTGTTCACTTGATAAATAAAAGATAATTCTTGCATTTGATATAGCGCTTTTCACGTCTTCTAGACGTCTCAAAGCGCTTTACAGAATTTACTGTAAAGTGAATTGACTGTATATTTGGGGTGAAACGTGGCAGCCAATTGCGCACAGCAGTGTCCCACATACAGTTGCGGATTGAGTGACCAAATTACTATTTTTTTCATTTTTTCTTGAGGGATTATCATTAAGTGTGTGGAGTAAAGAAACTTGCCCAAGGTTTCTCCCTGCTGGGAATCGAACAAAGGTCTCTTGCCTGCGAGCCGAGTGCTCTAACTACTGAGCTACAGGACTCCCATCTTTTAAGACAGGCAAATTGCAATGACAGTCAGCATCGCAAATAAAACTCACTGAAATATCCCAGATAAAATTTACATTTCACTTTCGTTAAGTACCCACATACTTTATTCTAGAGATCCAGTTAACTTAAGGCCAAATGAATATCTAACAATAACAAGAAGCAGCAATCAGTTTCAACAGATTCAAAGTTATCCTTAGGGAGCAGCAACATTCCTCTTGATGTTTGCTTAAAAAGACTTTATTCCAAGGAACAAAAATTCACCATTGATCACAAAATACTTTTTCATTAAATAGGACTGAGAAGAGCTTCCATCACCAAGTCTCAAAGTCAATGAGATGCTTGATTTCAAGCTAATATATGTTTAATATTAAACAGTTATTCAATGAAGAAAGAAAAAGCAAGGAGGAAAGGAGAAAGGGAGCGAGAGCGCGAGACTATTGGGAACATTGATACTAAATAAGCTAAAATTGAAACTAGGGTTGTGAAATTTGTGCAGAATAGAATATTTAACTAAATTCACCACATTGTCAACACTAAACGAAACATTGAACCAATATAATGACCCTGAACACTTTCCAGGGTTGGGGGAAGAAGGGAGGCATCAACAATGGACAGTAAGTAACACGCGTGATGTACAGGGGTAAAGGTGAGGTAAAGGAACATGCTCCTTTGTCAATACGCTGTTACACTTCAGCCCACTGCAGGCATCTTACCTGCCCCTGCTGGGGCTGTCCTATGATAATCTGTCCCTGCTGGATTGCCGTTCCCGTTGTGGCCTGTTGTCCTTGCTGCTGGCCCTGGACTTGTACTGTTGTTGGCTGCTGGGCAAGGGTGAAGTAGTACTGCACCTGCTCGGACGTGGGAACGGTTTGACGGACTTCCTCCTGACAGGACAAAAGCAGAGTCAATGCAAAGCCAGGGTGTGCAAATCAGCACTCAAGAGTGAGCATACAAAAACTGTGCAACAGGACAGAGCACAACCTGCTGAAAAGGGAGAAAATACATCTAGTCTCCGCTGGGTATTCTACTCGTGGCAGTAATGAGGAGATTCAAAGAGCAGCCCTCAAGTGTATTATTACTACCACATTTGATATAGCAAATTTCACACGGAAGTCTCAAGTACTTCACAGGATTATCTTGAGAGTGTCGTGATAGTATTTTGTAGCAAACAGACAATATTATATTAGGTGGAAGAGAAACAAAAAGCATGTATAATGAAATGGATTCTACTTTGAAACAAACTGTGTGTCAGGCTCAGTGGTAGCACTCTCATCTCCGAATCAGAAGGTTATGGGTTCAAACCCCATGACGGGACTTGGAATCACAGTCTAAACTGACACTGCAATGCACTCCAATGGGGTGTGCTCCACTGTAGGAGGTGCCGTCCTCCAATGAGACATTAAACTGAGGTCCTGTCTGTCTGTTCAGGTGGATGTTAAAGATCCCATGGTGCTATTTGAAAAGAGAAGGGAGTTGTTCCCGGTGCCCTGGCCAAGAAACCAACCCCCAAATAAATATTGGTCACTCGCTCCATGGTTGTTTGAGGGATGGGATAAGGGGCTGTATCAAATGCAAAGAATATTATTATTATACTAAACTGATATTGCGATCCTGAATATTAGGGGAATTCCAAATAGAATTTGCATCAGTACTGTTCTCACTTATATGTGTCTGCACTTCGCAGTGTGCTCTGACGCGTATTATGAAGTGAGCTTATACACATTATGCAGAGCAAGGTGGAAGGGACTCCAGGATGGAGTTCCACAGAACAAAAATAGCTGAAAGTTCGCCTACTGATGATGGGGTGGATATGATGGGAGGACATGAAGCAGGGGGTTGTTGAGTGGAGGGAGCAGCAGGTCAGAGAGCTAGGATGAGGTGAGCATGAGCATGAGAATTTGAAAGTGAAGACGATGATTTTTAATTCATTGGGGAATAGGAAGTCAGTGGAGCCGGGCAAAGGTCGGGCTCTACGACTGGTGCGGGAAAGGACACCGGCTGTGGAATTCTGGATAGGCTACAGCTTGTAGATGCAAGCTTGTAGCTTGGAGATGCTGGGGAGCCCGGCGCGCAGGACGTTGGAAGGAATTAGGAAGAAATCCAGTTAATGAATACCACAAAGTTGAACCCCCGTGTCAGTTCCAAGGCTGCTGTGCACCAACAGTTATGAAGTACTAAATCTGCTATGTAATAACTGGGACACCAGCAACAGATACAGTACAGATCTTTCTCTCTCGTTAGAATACTTAGAACTGTGCTCCAATTACTGTGCATACAAAACATTTCGCCTTCAAGCTTACTTGGAAGTGAAGGATGGTTTAAAGATTTTAAAATACCAAGTTTCAATTTAACCATCCGGGAATCTCCAGGTACCTTTAACCTTTGCTCTGTAAGCTGAGTGCAGCGTCTTTCCTATATACAATTAAGGAAGGAGTATAGAGAATGCAGCTTTACACTAGGAGTGTAGGTTTGCTAGGATGTTACTTGGGATAAGAGAATACGGCTACCAAGAAAACCTGGACATAATTGGGGCTTTTATTCCTCTGGAGATTAAGGCATTTGAGAGGGGACTTGAAAAGAGCAGCTTAAAATGATGAAAAGGTTTGATAAAAGTGAATATGATTAGCCTGTTTCAACTTGTTGAAGAATCTACAACAAGGAGGCTTAAATAAGATAACCAGGAGCAGATCTAACAGTTTGGGAGAAATTTCTTTACACCAAGGGTGGCAAAAATGTGGAACTCTCTGTGGTTGAAGCAGAAAGCACTATGCATTTAAGAGGGCACTCTTAAGACACAAGAGAGAAGGAATAAAAGTGGAATAAGAATAAGGAGGGAACTGGGATGGTTGGAGGCTCATGGGAAGTATAAATAATGGCATGGACTAGTTGGACACAATGACCGTTTTAATAATAATAATCCTTGCATTTAATATAGTGCTTTTCATGTCTTCTAAGTATCTCAAAGCGCTTCACAGAATATATTGTAAAGTGAATTGACGGTATCTTTGTGGGCGAAACACGGCAGCCAATTGTGTATAGCAGTGTCCCACAAACAGTCATGTTGAGATAATATTGAGGTCGTGATTTTGGTGTAATTCTATGCAAAAAGGAATAATACAGTTTAAACAGGGAAAATGGACACAAAGCTTTATATATTGGATATTTGTAGGCAGTTACTGCAATTGTACAAGTGAATTTTCCACCGATTCACTCCACTGCCTCTCTTAAACCCAAATAATTCTTACTGTACACCAGATTTAAACCAGTTCCCGAGACTCCGTTAAGATCTACTCGAGCACCTTGCCACGTGGCTGCTGCTCCATCTGTGCCAGAATGAGTAAGCATCCTCCTCCCAGCTCAGCTACACCACAGCTGAGAGTGTAGGATGTTTACACACACTAGTGCACAGCACTGCATTGTCAGCTCGTCCCGTCCCGCTGCTCCTTCTGACCAGCTGTAAATACCAATGCCAAGATCTGCGAGAAAGGCCTATGGGTGTACATATCAATGCAATTTCTACTGTCCACAAAGCACAGGGAGAGAACCCCCCCACCCCACAAGATAGTAAAATTACAGCAAAAACAATTTAGATCTAGTGCCTTTCACATAAAAGAAACATCTCAAAACACTTTACTGGAAGAAATAATTAGAGATGAAGTGAATGTTCTGATGGAGGCAAATGTGGTAGGTGGCTTGCACCAGCAACAAACTCTATAAGGTGAGTAGCCAATAATGAAGAATTTGGTGGTGACCGAGAGTCACGGTAGAAAAGGTTATTTTCAGGCGGGACTTGAAAAAGGGGATCGAGGGGGCAAGGTGGAGGGATTGAGGGAGCGTGTTCCTGAGTTTCAGCGTGCGGTGGCTGAAAGCGCGACCTCCAACGGTGGAGCGGAGGGTGCGAGGGATGAGCAGGAGGCCGGTGCAAGTTGAGCGGAGGTGCCTGGTGGTGGATTGGGGAATGAGGAGGTCGGAGACGTAGGGAGGTGCCAGGAAGTGAATGGATTTGAACACGAGAGTGAGGATCTTGAAGTATAAACTAAGATACCTGGGAGGAAATCTCCACTTTTTCTTTGTAACTAGTGAAATGGCCCATTCCAGTAAGCGCAATAGAGAGCTTACCTGAGAACAAACATTTGCAGCAGCAAGCTGTTGGCAGTGAATGCACTTTGTTAATGAGAATTTGAATCTTTTTCTGACTTTCTCAGGCTCATTTCCCGTCTCTGTGCCCTCTCTAATCCCTGTGGGTTTGTTCTCGTCAGGTCTCTCACTCATCTTTGTTGGTTTGTTCCTAATAAAAAAATTTCTACGCACTTTGTTTTCCTTCAAATACATTGGAAGTTGGGACCGCTAAACAACCCTCCCTCCTTCTTTCTGTCTTGTTTTAAAAATCTCTTAAGTTATTTCTCTTTGGCGTTTTCTTGCTCCGGGAAGTCACTAACTTGCTCTTTCTCTATTTCTAACCCTAAACTGCGGAGTATAAATATATGTAGACTAACCTTTGCTACCAGCAATAAAACTGTGCAAAGTTGTGCTCATGTATCCTGAAACACCCTGTTTACATGTACCACAGTACTTTCGTCAATATCTCACAGGCTCCACATCCAAATTTTTGCTTCAGAGGCCCAGGCAGGTAAAACAGACACGCTGATGAATGGTATTCTATTGCAGTTAAGGCAACTTGGTCTAACACATGGCGAGCCCTTGGGAGTCTTTAGTAGTAAACTTTGACAGTAATGCATCTCACCAGCATTCCTTGATCTACTTCCAGGCACACTGGAACATAATTCCAGCAGATCAGCATGATATTACCAAGACACTATCATCAATTTAGATAAATTACCACGTATTAGCCCGAGTAGTTCCCATGTTAATGACTGGTACCAATATTAACCAACTGCTTCATATCACCAGCTTACTTAGATTAGTCCATATTTGCACCTGCAAACACATTTTTTTTTTTTTTTACGATGTCTACTACAGCAGGTTCAACAGGTTTATGAGCAGATTTTCTGCGGCAGTTTTAAATTTTTATAACGGATTGATTATAAATTTCAGCAAAGTTCTAAACAATTATGAAAGAACTGATTATCTGCACTAACTGGGACCAGCCCGGTTGTGGATAAGCAAACAGTTGGATAATTGGACAATGAACAAAATAAAAATTGGTAACAGTGCTGACTGAATAGCTGTTCACCATCAGTTATACTGTCACTATTGTACCGTGCCATGTCAGCCCTCTCTGTGAGAGTCTGAATTTTCACATCCATCTCAACAGGCATACAAAGGGAATAGTGGGGGTTGGTGGGGGGGGGGGGGGGAAATCAGCTGGATATCCAATACACATGGAAACCCATCATCATATTCAAAGAGTATCCAAGCCATGTCACCTCACCTACACATGGAAAGTCCCACATGTGGAATGGAATTCACTCTCTTCCTGGAGGGATGCATCTTGCTTATCTAATTTGAGTATTAAGTGCAGGTTAGCAAGAGCCAATACTTGGTGAACCCAGAGAGTGCATTGGGGTACTACTGGAGTTTAATCATCTAAAAACACATAGCTTGCCATTGAAAGCGCCATCTGGCAAGGTGAGGACAGGAATCTTAAATTCGACCTGGTGGATGAATCGACCATAGATTAAGAATGAGTCTCGTTGAAATTTAAAGATGGGGAGACCGACCTTTAAATTATGCAGCTAAAGTTACAGTAAATAGATTTTCGATTTTGCTTCACCAAGCAATGAAAAATAAGATAAGATTGCACTCAAAAGTAGACACATGGATTTCTTGTCACAACAGCAGCACGTCAATAGGAGAACCTGTATCTTTCCTTCTCATCTCCAGCTTTCATTGCGCAGACCAGAATTTTGTCCTGACTCACTGGGCTTAGTGCTGATTCATGGAATCCTAGAATGGGTTTCACTGATGCAAACGGCAGCCAACAGCTGCAAACATCTGACTGAAAGCCCTCAAGTCACCACACAGCTTCCAGTCAAGGATGTTTACAGCAGCACGACCTGCCAGTAATCAGCAACACGTGGACAGGTATGACACAAAAACTGACTCAACCCATTCAATGGTAGATAAAGCTTTCTGAATGCCTGGAGAAAAATAACCTCAATTGTTTGTGTATATAAATAATCGTATGTTCGGATTGTGATTCTTGAGATATGCTGAAGTTCCTGATACATTCTCAAAGTGGCAGCCTCACCACCATTCCCAATCCATGCTTTGTTATCACACACAAGGAGTTGTGAAAATGGTTCGGCGTCACAGTGACCCTCCCGCCACCCTTCAAGATTTCTCCATTCCTCGCGAAACGGAAATTTGACTTTTAGTAGCAAGATAACATAAACATCTAACTGAAAGTTATATTTGTCAGGTAAAGCTTTCAGTTAAAGATGTTTACATGACCTCTGCACTCTCAGAATATTTGGATGTTAAGAGAGCAACAGCCTCCTGGTACGTGCTGATCTTACAGTGAATTCCTCCATAGATCCCATCTATAGTATATACCCCCCGCCCACATCCATCCACACACCACCCCCCACATGCACGCACATAACCTGCCTCTCCACCCTGACATGCTGCACTGCAGACTGGAGTTCTAAGCTGGTTTTCTGGCATACACTGAAAATAGGATCCTTTACAATTTAAAAAAAAAGCTGAATCAGCCATTTTTGGTCTCTCAGAGCATCTGGAGATAAACAGGTAAATTCAACAGTCCACACAGACACCGGACAAGAACATAATTTGGGATTTCAAACAGCGACCGGTTGCGAAAGGGATTAAAAAAGAAAAATGGGGCAACATTCCAAGAGTTATATTTCTGCTAAAACCAAAGTGATCTTAGAATGTACTCCAGAAATAGTCTCACTCCATAAAAGAATAATGTTCAAGAACAAACTGTGTGGACTGGAACTTTAATCTTGTAAAAATAATGTTTCAGCCTTCAAAATGGAATATGGAAATATTTTTTAAAAATCCAACTTACTGCTTTACCTTCTCTAAGAGATAATAGGATGAGCATATATCTGAGAATATAACCATTTTGCTCACACCTTCTACCAACAGAAAATAGTTCCGACAGTTCTTAGAAATTGCTTTAAGGTGCTCGTGTGTGTGCAAACATCAATTCCAGACTTGAAGCCAGAAGCGCCATGCACTAGATATTTGCTGCATTTGATCCCCACACTAGCCCCGATCGTTCCTTACCTGTCGTTTTGGAGGCTTGAGCTCATCTCGGGGGACAATGTCAATCAGAAAATCAAACTGATCGAACTTGGTGATGGCCATAGCGATGTCATTCCTCTGTCACGAGTGAAAGACAAAGTACAGAGATGAACACTTCAGCAGAAAGAAACTAAACATATAGGCCGTGACACAAATAAGCAGATACTGATTCACTTATGGAAGGGTTAAGACCTCCTGGTTATACTCCGGCAACATTGAAAAGTTACATTTGTGAAATGTCAAATTATCGATTCACAGTTTACTGAGGTTGAAATTTCATGGTAGTTAAAATCTTGGAATACTTCGAAAATCAATCCAAGGCTGCTCCTGCTCCAGACAATTCGTGTGCCATTCTGAGGACAAACCTCTAAACTTTCCTTACTTTATACAGAAAAAGTTATTCTTGCCCCTAAATTAAAAGTCTTATGCATAAAGGGACACAACATTTTTGGATTCCCAATACTTCCCAATACTTACGCTGACTGTTATCTTCAGAATTTAAACAAGCTTTTTGGTTCCCGGTTGGACTGGAGAGAATGTGCTTTGACACAACCCAGTAATGTTACCATCTGCCCAGAATGACTGACAGCAATATTCTCCCACCTCATACATTCATAGGAACAGAAGACGGCCATTCAGCAATGAAACCTTTTCCACCCCAAATCATTCATGGAAATCTACAGCACAGGAGGTCATTCTGCCCACCACCCTTATGGGCAGAGCATTCTACAACCCAACTACTCCACAATGGTCTGTAATCACACTTTCCCCCTTAATATTGTATCTCCCAAGTTCTTCCTTTCCCCCCAGCCATCTATCACCTCTTAGACTTCAAATAATTCATAATTGTTTTTACTGCCACTAGCCATCATTAAAAAAAATACAATGCCAAAATAAAAACAATAGTTATAGTTAAGTCTTGAAGCAAATTGAAACTAGGCTTTATATCAGTTACTTTTCCAAAAATAAAGTGCAATGCCTGTTTAAAGTAAGGCATTAAAACAGTACGTCACTGAACGCTTTCCAATTTAAGAACATGCACAGCATACTATATGAGACAGAGGCACTACATCTCCCTCTACACTGTTCCATGCAACACTCCCAGGTTAGGCACAGATTAAAGCTCCCTAAATACCGTCTCAGGTCATGTGCCTCAGCCCTAAACATAAACAACTCCATCAGTGTGTAATTTTCACTTCCAATACCAGCTAACCTGTGGCCAGAAACTGAAATGATCAATTCATTGTCAAATTATGGGCCATTTTGTGTTGGGAGCCCATACCCATCATGAACAGGATTGCAATTGCCAAAACCGATTTTAACATAGGACCCTTACAGTCAGCAGACACTTTTATTCCTTCAATCTGGGCCTAGATCCAAACCCAAATCCCAGAGGGGATAGGATTATGTACTGATGCATTGTTCCACAACAGAATTTGCATTTTTAATCTCAATGGTTCAAACAAATAGATTTAAATTAATGCTACAACTGGGTACCTTGTGCAAACCAAAAGGAAGTTTACAACAATGGATTAAGGGTTAAGTACCTTACTCATGATCCCAGACCTATTGTGATTCCCTGTTCATGGGTTTCCCAGTCTGTGCAACAGTAACTTCATTTACATAAGAGCTAGCCTGCTGCCTTAGATCGTACTGGAAAGCACAATTTTCCACTATTAACTTTCTATATTAAAAGAATTTATTTCCACAACTTTCTTCCTTGCTTGCTTTTAAGCTCACCCACGATTAATTTAAGCTGTTTTGCCTGACTGGTGAGCCCAGTGCAAGGAATTTCATGTACCCTCACGTTTTAGTGAAATCACAGAAGCATCTACAAAGTTTGGGTAGTACCTGCAGAGTCCTGCGTTTATTGTCCTCCGTATGTATCCACGCCCTCAGAGACAGCTCTGTAATGAAAATCTGAGCTGCTTTTGCAAACAACACTGGTGCTTCAGCGCTGATCATCTGCAAAGATAAAAGGTAAAACCGTGAGGTTACATCTTTGCATTCCTTTTGTGTGTCACCTTCGCTTCACTGAAAAAGGTTGATCAAAGTACTTATACTGAGAGTGCTGTACGAATGCTGTCTCCATAGGATTTGCACTTGCCTTTACAAAGATCCATCAATTGAAATAGCTTAAAGAATTCTTGAAAAGACTGATTTTGCTGTTACGAAGATCCAATTTTAAGTTTTGATATGTAGCACAACTGTCCCATGTTGGTAGTCTCCAGAGTATAAGGACAATAAAAGAAAATACCTGCTTAAGTAATTTTTCTCCGAGAAACTGCAAAAATCTTAAGAGTTGCATTAACCCATGTATCAGAGAAACTCTGAAATAATGGGCTCTAGCACTCCGCCCATAAATCTGCTTAATTCTGAAATCAATTAATCAAGCTTGTCAAAGATGTATTCAAAACAGACTCAATTTATATTTATCAATGAGGTGATGTAACCAGTTACTAACTTTCAACATTAAAAAATATGCTCAACTCCTCATGAATTATTTAAGCATGTGCCACCAAGTTATCATTATTCTTATTAGGTCCTGCAAAGCAAGGTTGTAGGTAACCCATCTGAAAATCTGTTACAAAAATATATTTAAGTGATTTGCAATCTCAAGAGTTGCAATTATTTTGTGTGCTATTCCTGAAGAAAGGAACATTGGATAGAGGATACCCAAGAGGTGTTTTAGTGTAACAAGTACAAGATGCCACCTAGCTGTCATCTGTTCAAAACTGCAGTGAGCAACATTTTCACAGTGCGCCCAAGGACATATTTGGGAGAAGAGCAGGGAGCTCTCCCAGTAACCTAACTAATGTTCCTCCATCCCCCAAATTGATCATTCATCTCCGCTGTGCATTAGACATTCTTGCCACAGATTAGCCATTATTTTGTCTACGTAAAGGTTATTCCACTTCAAAGTACCACATTGAGCGAATTGCTTTGCAACATTTCAACATCATCGGCGCCATATCAAATGCAAACATTCTGCTGCAATAAAGATGATAAAAGGACGTGAAATAGAAGTCCAGCCAACTCTTTGTTCTTATTCACAGTATATTAATGTCAGAGTAATTTGGGTTCTGGATTCATCATCTTTGAAGATTAGTGAATGGAAAATATTGCATTTATTCCGAACCCTAGCTTGGGTTTGAAACACTGATTGTCCAGCGCCTTGGGAGATCCTCCCGACATGAAAAGCGCTACACAAATGCTATTTTTTTGTTCTTGCTGCATTTGGACACCATAAAATAATCTCATGTGCCAATAATTTTAGAATACTTAATACTGGTGTTCTGTCACTATATACTGCTTAAGTATTCGGAAACCACCTTCAAACTTTCTCAAACACGACTAATGCAAATACTGGACTTGATACAGAACTAAATAGCACTATTGCTTCAACTGTACAATACTGCCCATCAGCCCTTCACACCTCTACTCAAAACATGACTACTCAATGGCTATCCAGAGTGGAAGCTAGAGTGTTTATCTCAAAGTCACTTCCAGGCATGGTATGATGCAAGCAGTCAATGGAATGCACATTCCAGGTGTTTAAGATCTTGTTGGGAGAGCCTTAGAACGGAAGTGCACTATTTTTCAGAAGTGTGTGCATCAGCTTGGCTCAATCGGGACTTGGAACCCTTATAGTCTAGGCTGACAATCCAGTGCAATCTTTGTCCGAGTTGTCCTTTGGATTAAATTTTAAACCAAGTCTGCTTGTTCACATTGATATTAAAGATCCCATGGTACTATTGATGACTATTTGAAAAGAGAAGGGAGTTTCTTCCTGTATACTGGCCAACAATCCCCAGATAAAATTGTTCACTCACTTTGTTGTATGAAAATTTACCACGTTCACCCACTAAATACAGTAACACAACTTTACAGTATATCCTGTGAAGCCTTTGAGATATCTCGGCAATGTAATAAGGCGCTATATCAAATATAAGGATTGTTCTTTTCTTTTGCCCCCACCCTTTGGAACTTCATCTGCAGTCTCTCCGCCTCGCCCCTCCCTTGCCTCCTTCAAGATCCGTCTCAAGACCCTCCTCTTTGACCATGCCTTTGGTCACCCTCCTTCCCCCCCTGCCCCCCCACTCTCCCTGATCCCGACCACCAGCTCGGGTCCGAAACACTGATTGTCCAGCGCCTTGGGATGTCCTCCCGACGTGAAAGGCACTATACAAATGTAATTTTGTTGTTGCTTGTGACACCGATCGGCCTGCATGCTTAGCAAGAATTTAAGGTTAATGTCAGGCAATAAAAGAAAGGACAGGAGTGTGTTATGTGCTGCAGCATAAATGAAGAGATTTGGCTATGCCACAGAGAGAAAAGTTATTGAGCCCAACAAAAAGGATCTCTTTACCTTTACATCCTCATCCAGCTTCATAATTTTCTTAATGCGAGCCAAGGGGAGATCCTGGACCTTGAAGTCATTCTGTTAGATCAAAGTTTTAAAATCCACAAAATGTTTACATTTGTTTGCTGGAAAACCCCCATACACAAAAGAGTAAATTCTTACAAAGCTGAACAGTAATTACTTCAAATAAAAGCAACACTCCTACATTAGAATCTTGATTATCGAGTCAATGCTATATTTTGGATCAAGACAGTGTCAAAGATGTAAAACCTTAAATTGCAATAATGAAAGACAAAAGCAAAGCATGTAATGTGATTTAAACTTAATTGGAGAAAAAAATGTGGATTTAAAGAAGGAACAAGCTGGCAACTATTATACCAAGACTGTGTGCATCTTCAAATGAGGAACTGATTAGTGACTAAATGGAACAATTATTTGGAACATTGTCTTAACCCACAAAACCCACATTTCGTCCACAAAATATAGTCAATGCAGTTTACAGTACATTCTGTGAAGCCATTTGAGATATATCAAAGATGTGATAAGGCCTATACCAAATGCAAGGATTATATTACTTTATAACTCTCAGAGATGTGGATTTGAACAGCACAGCATGATACTCTCTGCAAAGTTTATCATATTCAGAAGAATTGTGACAGTCTCAATCTTTGTGGATATACGACCAGACACATGAGAACTACCCGAACAAAGATTGGTGAAGGAATAGAAATGAAAATGGTACTGGCAGGAAATTCTCTTCTGATGCTAGGGCTAATACTTATGTCATGACCGCAGACTTAATGATCTTTAGAGGGTCAAATGGCCTTTATTCCACCTCCACATTTCTTGCGTTCTGATCACATTGTTGAAATAAAAGAGATTTATTCTGTATCTAGTTATTTTATACATCAAAATCCATTAGCTTTAAAAGGCACTAGACAGGTGCTTGAAATAGAGAAATATTAGAGGTCATAGGGAGAGGGCAAGAGAGCGGGATTAGACCAGCTAACTCTTGTAACAAGCTTAATAGGCTGACTGCCCTGTTTCAGTGCTGTCACATTGCATAATTTTAAGGCAATTTTCTGAAAATTAATGTCAGTTGGAAAAATGTATATCACAGGCCTGACATTTCTCATAGTCTTGCAGACTTAAGACCAATACAAAATCCACTTCCAAAATAAGAGTTTAATAATTTTCCAAAATTCATCTAAGAGCATGAGAGATTTCAGGTATTAAAATGTTCAACACTAACATGTAGACTTAAAATTGCCAATTATCTGCAATGTGCACACAAGATAAATGTCTGCACCACAGAAAGCAGCAGAGACCCACGGCTTCTCACTAGTCTCTAGCAGATCTTATTAGTGATTCATCAGTAGGATTCAATTAAGTGCTGTACTTAAGCATAAATAAGACCTTTCAACCCAAAAATTGCAGTCACTCAGTGCATTTCACTGGCTTTTGTTCTGTACATTAGGTGACATCAAAATATCACAACATTAGTGCTTTCACAAGACTCAGAAGGAATTGTCAAATTTGTACTCGGCTGCCAATGCAGAATAGATATCCATTTTGCAAAATATAGTCCAGTAAGTGAAGGTTAAGTCTGAATTAATACTATTGCTTAGAAACGAGCTTAAGATGATGACTGTCTGGATGGAACTCCACCTGCTATATCCCGCATCGCAGAACTTCTGAGTGTTGATTTTACAATCAGTTACTTTCATGAAATTGCAACAGGTAAGTAAACTCAACAAAAGCTGAAAACATACTGGTGTCAGGTTGCGTATTTCTTCCATGGTCCGTGGCCAGAAAGTCTGGAGTAGTTGTTGGGCTTCACTGCTCCCACCTCCCTGCGAGGTTGTAGTAAATGAACCATCTCCAGTGGCAGACATTCTGAGACCTGCAGACAAATAGAAGCAAGAGGTTTTACACAAGACAATATCTCTAAAAATGTTTTTTTGGAAGCATGCATCCTGTGCATATCACAGGCCATCTGTACCTTTGAGTATGTGAATAATCAGAGACAAACATATCACAAACTACCACTAGTCTATATAGGGGGATAATATTAGGTATATAGTTCCTGCTGCAAGTACGTAGTGCTGAATCCAGTTATTCTTGAGCCTGTCATTTCTCTACCTTTAGGTCTTCCTGGACCAGCCACCATAACTCAGCTGAGTATGGTCTGATATACATTTCCTAGCCCTTTTGGCCAAAGACAGGGTGCAAAACAAACGCTGACCTGTTTTTCTCTGATGATAATGTGTGCGTCCATCTGTTTGATGGATGGACATTGCCTCCCCCAAGATACTTTAGCTTTCCTACTTTCCCATCTTCATTTGTACTCTCTATTCCCTAAAAAGAATCAGTCCTTTGGGTTAATAGACCAATCCTGATCTTCAATAATAATAAATTAATAGGATTATTAATATTCAGCCCAGCCTACCTATAAAATAGTCATTAGAATTTACGGTATGCCCTAAGATGCTCTAAGAGACATTCCCCCGATGACAAAGGTGCAGGTAATAATAATAATCCTGGCATTTGATACAGCGCGTTATCACGTCTTCAAAACGTCTCAAAGCGCTTCACAGAATATCCTGTAAAGTGAATTGACTGTATATTTTGTGGGCGAAACGCGGCAGCCAACTGCGCACAGCAATGTGCTACAAACCATCCATCGTGGATTGAGCGATCAATTTTTTTTAAGGATTCATTACCACCGGAAAAGCGATCTGCCAATCGATTAACAACCAGGTTTCTACTTAAGGCTAGGTAAACAGGTGTGTGGAGTAAGGAAACTTGCCCAACATTTTGCCCTGCCCAGTAATCAAACCGAGTTCCTCTCCAATCACTCACATATTAAACCAAACATTGTTAATAAACTACAAGACAGCAAGCAGGGCATTAAAACAATTTGTATAAACAATAACAGATATGTGTGTCAGCCTGGCTCAGTTGGTAGCACTCTCATCTCTGATTCAAAGGTTTGTGACTTCAAGACCCCAAATTCGGACTTGGAACTCAGAGTGCTGACACTCCAATGCAGGGTGTGTGCTGCATTGACTGAGGTGCCGTCATGAGGATCTGTTGGATGAGGATCTGTTAAAGATCCCATGTTGCTATTTGAAAAGAGAAGATAGTTTCTCCCATTGTTCTGGCCAACAATCCTCAAATAAAATTGGTCACTCGCTTCTTGGCTGTTTGTGGGATAATGCTGTGCGCAGATTCATGATCGTACTCGAACACAATATACTCAGAAACATTTGCAGTGTATCCTGAAAAGCGATCAAGGCAGGCAACGTGTACACAGTAGCGTCCTGTGAACAGCGATGATGTGAACGACCAATTTTATTTGGGGGATTGATGGTCACGACACCAGAAGACAGGATTTTAATCATTTGCAAAAGTGGGAGTGCAAGGATAATCTTATTTTACTTAAAAGCCATGGGAAAGGACTGTTGTAATGTGCATTTATTTATTGGGAGGTGGCAAATAGTGGGTTGAAGGGTTAATAAGACCTTCATCCCAATGGACGACTCTTTAACTCTAGTAACCCAGTTATGATCAAAGATTGCAACTTCAATTCGTAGGCATTACTGTTAAGTGAGATTGAACTACTGGACCAAATTGGTATTCAAATTATATTGATGTTGAAACAAGATTTGAACCTTATATGCCATGAGTTATTTTAAACAAAATTGCCCACTGAAATAAATAGGAGAATGTTATTGCCCAGGCATACTGAAAAGAGCAGATGCAAACACTGTTATTTAGGTCATTGTTTTCTGAAGGTTAGAAGGAGGTGAACAGTCTGATTGAATATGCAATCATACGTCAGTACAGTATTTGAATACACAGAGGCAAGTCGTGTGGCTCCCTTGCACTCACAGTACTGCAATTGAGAGGATGAACCAGATCAGATGTTGGGAAAAAAGCCTGACCATAGCTTAGCTATCGCTATAATAAGTGGTTTAAATACGCTCATGTTGAACCATCTCAAAGCACTTTACAATAATTAATAATAAAACTATGCATTTGATATAACACCCGATCATGTCATTGAGACATCTCAAAGCACTCCACGGGATCTTACTTTATACTGTAGAGATTGTATTTGTACACAAGCACAACAGCTAATTTGTACACAGCAATGTCCCACAAACAGCTATGAAGTAACCAATTTTTAATCTGGAAGATTGTTAGCCAGGACACAAAGAGAAATTCCATTTTCTTTTTGAATAGTGCCATGGGATCATTAACTTACACCTGACTAGACGTACGGGAGCAAGGTTAAAATGTCTCATCTGAAGGATAGTACCTCCAACAATGCAGCACTTTCCCAACACTATTGTAGAGTCAGCCTGTACTATAACCTTAAATCAGAAGATACCATCACTACAAAATCATATTTGAACCAGAGAGTGCCCTTCCAGAGCTGGAAAAACACACAGGTGAGAGAAGCATTTGGATTTCAGCTTTGCTCAGTTGAAAGCACCCTCATCACTTGAGTCTTGAAATGCACACTACACGTCCTGGAGCCAATGTTGAGCCTTGATGTTTTGTTCTTTAACCTTCACATCTGTGCTGACTTGCTCACTTTCCCTCACCTCCTCAACACTGTTCACCTCCATCACTAACTTTATCTTCAGATCAATGACCCTGTAATCCACACATTCATCACATCCAGGCTTGACTATGCCAACTCTTTGCTTACCAGACTACCCAACTCTTCCTTTCACGAGCTGTAGACTATCCAGAACTCTTTAGCCCATGTCCTTTCCAGTGCTATATAAACATAAATTTGTCACCTTCATCAGAAATTTAGGTTCAAAACCTATAACAGAATCTGAGCTCATAACCCAGGAGTAATTTCCTATGTCAGCAGGCCCAAGTATACCCATACATATATGGAGCATCACTAATCAAATACAATATTAAGGTCCTCTCTACTTGTTCTGATTGGCATTAAAATCTTACACTAGTTGAGAAGAGTAAATAGATTTCAGTGTCCTACCCAATAATCCACCATTACCCATATTTGGCTCAGTGGTTAGATCACAGCTAACCTCAGTGGTTAGAGCACTCACCTCGCAAGGGAGAGACCTGGGTTTAATTGTCGGTAGTGCAAAACCTTGGGCAAGTTTCCTTACTCCACAGGCCGGATATTAATTCCTCAAGAAAAAAAATAATAATAAAACTGGGCACTTCAATCCATGACTGTTTGTGGGACACTGCTGTGCACAATTGGCTGCTGCGTTTCATCCACAAATAGTCAATTCACTTTACAGTATATTCTGTGTAGTGCTTTGTGACGTCTAGAAGACATGAAAAGCGCTAAATCAAATGCAAGGATTTTTATTATTATTTTCCATAAACAAAATTTGTTATTTATATCATTGCTGTTTGTGACATGCTGTTTGATCAATATCATTTAATTTGAGGTTACAAAGAAACAATAATCCTTCAGTAATACGGAATATTACGTACCTTGTTGTAGATGAAGAGCTCGTCAGAGGGCAGGCAAGAGTTGCAATAAGCCACAATAGATCAGATGAAGCAAGACAGCTGAAAAACAAACAATGAAGGTTTGGAAACTGAGGAATAAACACACTGATCCTACCTGCAGGCTGATAAGTTACTTTTCAGTGTTAGAGCTAAAAGCAACTTAAAAGTAAAAAGCAACTTAACAAGTTGTATCTTTGTTTGGCATTATATACAGTAACTCCATAAATAGGACCATAATAGAGCCTCTGTGCTGGGACGATTGTATTTTTTTGTGTCCTTATCAGTGTCAAGTGCTGACAGGCAAATTGCTCTGCTCGAAATAATGTGTAGAACCTAAATCTTAGAAGTGCACTTTCTACTGCAGTATGATATTGCCATTTCCCATACCAGCCATCCTGTGGTCCCAAGTCCACCTATTTGGTGCAATTTGGAACAGCTTTGTTTTATGGGTTTACTCCCATTGGAAGCTGGACTGAGATGGTGTATAGACCTCTACACCCAACAGGAAGTCTTCAAGATATTCTCATCAAATATCAGACAACAATTTGAGCACTTTAATAAATTTCACTTGGGTTTCGTGGACAGAATTAAATATTTCCCAGTAAGCTCCAGATGTGGATCTGAATCACATTTAGTAAAAATCAACTAAAAACAGCAATTTACACTCTAAATGAAGTTATCATGGGTAGTGTTGTGAAGGTCCTATCCTACAGCAAGAGTCTAACTTTGAAGTATACCTTGTCTCCATTAATTATAACTGTTAACTTCTAGTATTCAAATACTGATTTCAATAGCATCATGTAGCAATCAGATCACAGCATACAATATGGACTGGTATGGTAAGAAATGTGTGGTTTGATATTGAAAATAATTATCACACTTGGGATACAGAAACCCAATCACCGCTCTTGATAAGCAGTTAACTAAACATTCACTGGAAAGGATTCACATTTTCTTCCCATCCACCCAACTTACACTCGAACTATAGGGTTGTAACTGAAGAACGAAAGAGGAAGGAGTGTATTTACATATCTGACAAGACTTCCAAACACTGTTTTTGCATACAATCCATTCAGCAAGTACCACCATTTTATAGTTACAAAATCTTGAATACTGCTGTAAATCTTACTCTACACATTAATTAGAGTGTAAACTTGCATGGCAAAACACAATGTTAAAAAGGCATACAGTCTATACAGATGGTTTAGAAAAGATGCAACACAAATTCTGGTGCTCCATCCTTCTTGAAAAGTTACGAACAACTGATAGAGGAGGATGTGCCAAAAGTGCATAACCAACGAAGGGCAAGTCACTTCAATCGATTCTCATACGATTCTCTATGGAAACCAGTCTAAGATTACAGAGCAGATTAGTTCATAAGCCCCATCGGCAAGGGAATAGAAATAAGTTTCAATAGTTTGTAAATGCCATCACATGCAGCACAAGTTAACTTCCACACATATGCGGATGACATCCAAAACTACATCTCAACCTCTACTCTCAATTCCAGGTCAATTCTGCACACTTTCCTATCAGAAATCAAGCCCTGGATGATCTTATATTTCTTGCAGCTGAATGTGGACAAGATGAAATCCACCCTCCTCGGCTCCTGCCAGCTTCTCCTCACCTCAGGCTCTAATTTCTTCAACCTCCCTGACCTCTCTCTCAAACTCACAAAATCACTGTATAACGTTGGCATTTGGTTCAATCCTCAGCTCTCCTTACTTCACACATTCAGTTCTGACAAAGACTTTCTCCATAATGCCTATCTCCAGCCGCATCTCATCTTTCTTACCTCCCTACTTGATTTTTGAAATGCATTCCTTGCAGGCTCCAAAGTTCAACCGTCATCCTTGTTAGCCCCAAATTCTGCACATTCATCATCCCAGTCCTCTCCATGCTCCATTGTCTTCCCATCTTCCAAGAGACTGACTTATCCTAGAATCTCTCCATCTCTGAGACCATTCTCGTTCCACATTCTTCTCCCATCCCTGAACTCAGCTTACATCAGATTTGCTGCCCAGTACCTCACCCGCTCTGAGCCATCACCGAGCTTTCAATAACTATGTCCCTTTCCTTCAAAACTTCCTCCACCTCACCCCCCTCCCTCTCCATTAGTCTTTAACTCACACCTAAACACTTTCCTCTACTTTCCCCTATTCCCTTGCTCCACATCTGTATCTTTGTGAAGACCTGCAAAATGTTATCCCACATGAAGGATACCATTATAAATGTAAGTTGTTGTTGAAATGTTACTTACATACAATTATTATAATAAATGCATTGCATTGTTTTATTGGGATCACAAGAGAGGTTCGGTTACTACCAGGCTACACGGTTGGAGTTTGAGAAAAATGTAATCCACTTATTCTACAATAAATAATTCTTAAATTTAATATAGCGCCTTATCACGTCTTCGGGACGTCTCAAAGCGCTTCAAAGAATATACTGTAAAGTGAACTAACTATATTTTGTGGGCAAAACTCAGCAGCCAATTGTGCATGGCAGTGTCCCACAAACAGTCGTAGATTGAGTGACTCATTTATTATTATCTTAATTTCAGTCTCTTCCTGGGGATAGGCAGTGGGCAACACTTAGACCAACCCCACTAACCACAGGTTGTATATTCTCTTTTAACTTTACAGTTCCAAAGTGCACACATGACTGTATAACACAAGCATGAACATGAGAATACAGATAAAATGAAGATATGGTGAAGCTGCCACTTTTAAACACTTAATTTGAGCAGGAAAATATTACTCATTGGAAAGAGGGAATGAAAAATATTCTTTCTGAGATGAAATTTCAGAATTCAAATCCCAATGAAGGAGCAACCTCTGAGGTCTGAGAGTGAAATGAGCAACTTCGAAAGTCCCCAGCATATCATTTAGGAATTACTACCAATGACGATTATTGCTATACTGAAAAAAACTTACAAAGAACCTTCACCATACTTCACTCCATATAAGGATATTGTCCCAACCAACTGATCAGAATCTTGTCTTGGACGTCACAACTAATGCAATTTTCTGCTAACCAAATCAATAACCAAAATAAAACTGTTCAGCAATCCCCGCTGACATTAGGAAACAACCAGTGCTCTCTTAGGCAAATAAAAACATCACAGGTAACCAACTGTTTGTCACTTGGATATCTGGAAATTCAAGGAAGGCACTGCTCAAATAACTTGCTTTGCAGAGATGGAATGTTGGCTGAAAAATCTGAAGAGCTACTCATCAGTTGTCACCATATCCCATGAAAATTATGATTTGGCAGATTCCTTTCTAGGTAAGGACTTAGTTCACATGGTCTAGGTTCCACTGTACTGCTGGGAGAATGCAGCATTTTTGGAGGTGCCATCCTTCAGATGAGATGTTAAACGGAGGTCCAGTTTACCTGTTTTTAGGTGGATACTAAATATGCCATATTACTATTAGAAAGAGAAAGGAGTTTCTCCCAATATCCAGGCCAACAATCCTCCAGATAAATTGGTGATTTCATCTCTAGGCCATTTGGGGAATTGCTGCTCACAAAATTGCTGCCTCCTTTGCCCACGAAACAGCCACTACACTTGTAATATTACCATGAGAGCTTTGAGATTTTAATATAGAGCTATAAAAATGCAAGTTCATTTCTTTCAACCAGTACATCCAGCATGGTAATTTGCCATTTTTGGAATGTCATCAGTTTATAGGTACTTTTTAAAATACATTTTGAAGCATTAAATCCAAATATAGGAAATTCTGTGTTGTAATCAGACATTTTACACCAAAACTGTCACAGGATGAGCCGTTTTGTCTTAACTATCCTCTACTTAGATGTGCATATGTGGCAGATGGCATCACACTGTGCCAAGAACAAGCGCGGTATGATCCTCCATTTCTCAGCAGATTATCAACTTGTCTCAAAATACTTTCAATTTTACAAGGAATTATTAATCCCATGATTTTTCCACAATTTTTATTCTTTCAATCGAAGTTCAAAAAAGAAATCTTGAAGATGCACAAGTCACAGAAAATATATGCATTAGAATGTCATGAAATCCTTATAAGTGTAGCAAAATGCTGTAATATCGTGCCTCTCTCCCCCCCCCCCAGTTAATCACACCCTTCACAAAACTAACTGGAGGCAATCATATCTCAAGGTCACTTTCTTCCAGTTTGAGGCCCAGCTATGTCAACTTTCACCACAACTTAGTCAAACCTTAGAAACATGAAGACTGTCACTGCAATGACATGGACTCAAACATTCTAATGGACTTTTGACAGATCGAAAAACATTTACTGTTGGCTGTTCATTCCATTTCTACATAGCTTTTGTGTTCTTCTAAAAGGCAACGACTGCTGAGTTGAACTGTACCAGCTCACATTGTAGTGACCTTCACTCACTGCTCTCAAAGAAAACAACAACACTATATTTGTCATTTTCGTACACATTGCTCAAGTAACAAAGTGGAAGCGCTGCCAACATTTCAAGCATCCAGGTTTCCTACCGGTTCTAACAGTTGTAATGCAACAAATAAGGTGAGGTTGCAGGTCTAAAAATCAAAAAGTCACTTTTTCAATAAAAAAGAGCCAACTTATTCTGAAACCAGGTGGAATAGCAAACATACAAGGACATTGACATTACTGGGCACTGTAGCAGCCAGAATTTGTAAACATTATAAATTCTTGTTTTTTAAAAAAAAATGAAAATTGACCAATTTTAAAGGATAAAAACATTTACCATCTGATCTTGGACGAAGCAAAAGGTAACTCTGTCAAGACAGCCACTTCAGTCTCGAATATATTCTGCCATCATTATCTAAGCCAATGCAAAGAACAGTTCTTTCAAAACTAGTGAACTCCTTTTTACAGACATTAAGATCATTTTTAGAAGAGGTGGGGATACAGGGGAGAGGGAAGAGAATTGAAAGTGCATTTTCCCCACCAAATAATTAGAATTTTTTATTTTAAAAAGTTGCGTTTCAAAACCCAAATAAGACGGGATCGGAGTTGAGATGTTTCTCGGTGTCAGAATGGACAAACTGCGGTTCCCTTCGATCGCGATCAGTAAAGTAG